CCCCCCCCCCCACACACACACACCGTTCGCGGGCCTCCTACCCAGAGAGGTGGCCTCGACCCAGTGGGGGGGGGGGGTTAATGAACACGGAAATCAGGCCAACTCGCGCTGCTTCTCCGGCCGCCCGCATTGCCCCCACCCACCCCCGCCTCCCGTGCGCCCTCTGTGCACAACGATCCCAGTAGATGTTCCCGCCACGCCGCCGGACCAAGAGGCAGGGGACGCTTGCGAGCAGCGCCCTGGGAAAGGGAATTGTGCAGCCCGAGGCATTTTTATGCGATACTCAGTCAAAAGGATTTGGAAACGGAGGCTTCTTCCATTGGCAATAATAAGGCATGTGCGTTGCAAACTTTGAGCGTTGTTTGTGTGAGCACACACCACTACTGTGTTTCTCGCCCAAACGTGGGCTCTCTCTGTGTGTGTGTGTATGTGTTGCAAGCCAGCATTTAAGGTAAGTGGACAACTGTACTTATCTCGCCAGCTTTCACATTTTCTGAAATTTAAGTGGGTTCGGATCTCTGGAATTGCACAGTCGAGGCCTTAACACGAGTATCCATCCATGCCTATATTGCACGGCACTCGCCGCTCCGGGCCACCCCGCTAAGCCTTCCTAACTGCCCGTCTGGAATTCCGCAGCGAAGTCGGGAGAGGCGGGCGGGCCTCGGAAAGGGGCTTAAACGCAAGTTAAACATAGGCAGTTTCAGTTTTCTGGACCACCGCTTCGGAGCACAACAAAGTGAAGCAGGAGAACGAAAGCAATTAGGTGACATTTGAACTTCCTGTCTGAGCAAATTTGCCCTGATTGCGAGAACTCGAGAAAGACTTGCCTGCAATTCCGAGGAAGTGCCTTTGCCACAGAAGCTCTGACTTGAGAGCAAATATCAAGGACAAAAGCCTGGCAGAGAAAAAAGTAAATATACCCGAACAGGGATTATGTGTGTTTCTGTTGCTTAGGTATGCTGATCTCTTCTGGTAGCCAAAAGAACTTGGCCATGAAAAGGTTAGCTGTGTTTGTTCCTCTCTGTAATAAATTGTGTGGTTATTTGATATGTACATGTTTATTGTATGTGTGTGTGTGTACCTACATGCATGCACACACACATGTATGCCTTGGAAAGGCACCCTTTCACTTAAGAGACCTCTCTAATTCACAAAAGCTACTAACACAATAAAACTGTTAGTGTTAAAAAAAAAAAAACGATGGGATTCTTTAATGTTTTAACAGCTTGTTATATAATTTGACATCATTACTAGTTACTTCTCTTTTTCATACTTATAAGAACATAGTAACACAGGAGGTTATTCTTTCCCCAACTCATTCAGCAATTATCTTTTTAGCCATACTTAGATGCGGTAGCCAGTATATGAGGTACTTGCAAAGTAATCCAGAAATGAGATGCATCAGCAACACTGTTTACACAGATGTTAAAGCCAGTCAAGATCAACACAACCGATTCACAGAAAGTGTGCCAAGTATTGGAACTTGTCTTCTTGAGTTGAGTTGATTTTATTTCAAAATGTGAATAAGTGCAGGTAAATCAATCTGAAAGCTTCTTGGGCATGTCTCTGTGGGCTCATGTAACTTTGCTGCTTTGATTTTAGTTAGCTCAGTTAAATTGGAGAATTGGAGAAGTGTGCTTATACCTTCCCTAGATTTGCGTGTGCGTGTTGTGTGCTTGTGTACGTGTAATAAATGTGCAAGGACATTTTCCCTCCCATCTTTAATAAATGCTTCTGTCTCAGCACAGTGATGTGTTCATCTTCTGGAGACTTACAGAAGCTTCACTATAAACAAATGTGCTCCCCAAACTGATAATATCCACGTGGTCTAAATATTGCCAACATCTTGGTTAGTGCTATCATATAAACAAAGTCATTTTTTTTTATCATATCTGCTTCCAAAATAATGGGTTACCATGAAAATGTTTTATTGGAAGAAAATATTGTATTTCTTTTTGGTTTCATTTATATCTCCTTTAAAATTAAATGTAAAGCTTCTCAAAGAGAAACTTATTTGGGAACAGATTGTTGTTCAGTTTATGAAATTCCACAGGGCTCTCAGTCCCAGATAAGAAAGCCTGCGCAAATAAAGCCCTGGGCACCAGAAAGTTCAGCCAAACATCTTTACTAAAACATATCAAATGCATAAAACTTGAGACACGTTGTCACATATTGGGGGATCCATGGCTGTTAGCCTCGATGGCAATGTGACTGTGTTTGAAGGCCATCTGCTGGGCTTCCTTGAGCAGCTGGTTGGCCAGTGTGAAGAGCACGCTCACTGCTGGGGTTTGATCCAAAGGGACTCTGCTTATATTCTTAGGATCCCTTTAAAAGGAGAAGGCCCTGCAGCTAAGTGAAAAATACCACTAGTTCAAAGAGAGACTAAATTTATTTAGAACCAAGTTCCACCTAGGCCAGAGGTCTCCAAACTTGGCAACTTTAAGACTTGTGGACTGCAACTCCCAGAATTCTGGGGGTTGAAATCCACCAGTCTTAAAGTTGTTAAGTTTGGGGACCCCTGACCTAGGCCATTACCACCTAAATGATTTATATAGCATTTATAGTATCTTCCAACACTGTTCATGAAGACAGACTTTATATTAGCACAACAGCTGGGTGTATATATAGCTATACAATGCTATAACTCGGGGCTTCCTTCAAAGCCCATCAGTTAAAGACAGGGGGAGGGAAGGCTATTGGTGATCTTCAACAAAAGCAAATTCATGTCCTTTTCTGAATCTCTACCCCTTAATGAAAATACACGACATTTTCTGAAGATACAGAAGTGGCTAGTCAGCAAAGGAGCCACCAGGAACCCGTTTTCCCCCCCCCCCCCCTCCCGCCCCCCCCACAGACCGCATAGACCCTCTGCAAGGGGTGGGCTTCTTCTGGTTTGGTTGACCAATCCTGTCCCTGGCTGGAAGTCTGATCGTCTTACCTTGATCTGTGATGGACCTAATTCCCAAGATGTCAGTGACGGAATGAGAGGAGGGCCAGGTCCGAGGCATATGGACGGCGCTGTGGATCGATGGCACGCCAGGTGGGGTAGGCACCTTGGCACCTGCTGCAGCGATGGGGCTGGGATAAGAGTAGATGTGGTTGTAAGGCAGGGCCGGCTGCGGAGCTGCCTGGTGCTGCTTGTAAGGCTCGTAGTGATTCTGCTGAGAAAGGTTTCCAATCTTGTTGCGCAGAATCCGGCTAATGGAACTGACCGAAGGGACGTTGTACTTGTCGCACACGCCGTCGGCCAGCAGCCGGTCCCGGATCTCCCAAGCAAAAATGCCCGGATCCCTTTGTTTGTAAGTCCGGATGTGCTTCACTACCGTTGGCGTGGTGACCCGCGGCTTGCTCCCTCCGATGGCCCCGGGTAAGATGGAGCCGGTCTCATTGTAGCGCGCCAGGATCTTGCTGACGCAGCCGTGGGAGACGCGCAGCTGCCGGCTGATGTCGCACGGTCGGATGCCCAGTTGAGCTAGTTCCACAATCCGAAGCCGGATGGCGTTGGGCAAAGGGCGGCCGTTGACGAAGACCCCGCCAAGCTGGTTGACCTCTCCGAAGGCTGGCTCTGCAAACAAAGAGAAGCAGCGGCACGTTGGAAGAGGCGGCCGGACTCTGGCGAGGCTGAGCTGGACGCAACCACCCGGGAACAAGGGCAGGGAAGGGAGGGACATCGGGCTCTGCTTCAAACGCTCGCGGCGCGTCTCCTTCCCGGGGAAGGCTGGGCTGCTCGCCGCTGCCTGGGAAGCAAGTTCGGCCGAGATCCGCGGCCTTTTGGTTCCTAGTAAGGGCGCACCTAGCTAAGAGCTGCCCGCCTTAAGGAGTTTCGTCCTTGCAGGCTTCTTAGTCGGCCCTTGAATATCCCGAGCGACTTCCTCCCTGAGCGCAACCGGCAAAGGCGCAGGAGGTTTCGGACAGCAGCCACTGGCGGTAGTATCCCTACCGACCTCTTGCCAAGCCTCGCAGGGCCCCGAGTCCCCCCCACATTGCCCGCATTCGAGAGGAAGCCACTCCAGGCAGTTCATCCGGAGTCAGTCGCGGGATGATTGGGGGGAGGCGTCCCTTGGAAAGCAGTCCAGTTAAAAACGAAGCGGATTGCTTCGTCAACGCCGTTGGGGCGCCCAGCTTCCTTCTCCTCTGGAGGTGGCGCGTTGACTCACTTTTCTAGCTGGGCTAGAAAAGCCGAGTGCCTGTAGCAGGCAGCCGGGAGAGTTAAATAACACCGCAGAGAAGTGGGAAGCGGCCCCCGATCTCTCCCCCCCCCCCCCCCCCCCCCCCCCAAGGAAAGCCTTCCCCCCCGAAATACAAACAGCCCTCAGGGGAGAGGGGGGGGAGAGAGAGGGAGAGAGAGAGAGAGAAAGAGAAAGAGAGAGAGAGAGAGACCGGGGTTCCAGAAGCCTGGGGTCGATCAGATGCCCTCCCCCTCCCCCCGCCCCAATACTTTGGGCTCTCTTTCTCCAGCACTGGCGCTTCTGAGACTGCCGCCACTGTCGCCGTTGCTTCTCCAACGCCTCGTCCCCAACCAGAGTCGGAGCCACAAGCCAAACCAGCCGGGCGCCCGTGGGAGCTTTGAGCCACCGGATTGCCCTCCCGCGCCCGTCTTAACACCCACCCACCCACCCCCGAGCCTCCGATGCTTCTGCAGCCACACTTACCCATGGTTTGACTCAGGACGCCGAGCAGGGTGAGGGAGCAGGAGATCCCCGGAGGAAACTCGGCGTGGGATGGGTCTTGCCCGGCTCGCCGGGATCGGCTCCGGAGAAGGCCCCGGCTCGCTCGGATTCCTACCGCGGGAAAAGGCGAGAATGTCAAGAAAAAGGACCCCAAGGAAGGCACTTTTCCGAGGCAGGAGACTGAAGTCCCGCATTTCAATCTCGCAGCAACGTGGGCTGGGCTGGGTCGGTTGGGGCGTCTCAGGCTATCACTCACCAAAGACACGCCCCTTGGAAGGTGGACCTAAAAGGAAACGCACCCCCCGGATTGGTAGGCAAGAGTGACAGACAGTCTCGCCCTGGAAGAGGCTTCCGTTCGCTTTTTGCAGGCAAGCTGGATCAGCACCTGGGTTCCATATGCAACGGCAGCGCACCAGAGATGGGAAAGCTGAGTCGCGGGAAGCCATAAAGTCAGAGGAAATCTAATAGCAGAACGTGGAAAATGTATTAACAGGATGAATAACCGCTGAAAGCGGTTTTATTTTCATTAAAGGGACTCACCTTCGTTCTGCTTTCAGCGCCAGTAGTTAGGCGTCGAATTAAACTTTCAGGAAGACACACTGACCCTGGGCGAGGGGTGGTTTCGTTCCTCATTTTAGAAACAGAAATAATATTTCCAGGGAAATCATATTTTCCGATTTTAGAAAAGCTTCTTTTTGTACTTCTCCCCAAAAAACACTGCTCTATTTCCGCCTGGCATTATTTATCGCTAGTATAGCAGCAGCAACTGTAAAAAAAGAAGAAGAGGAAGAAGAAGAAGAAGGCAAGAGATCTAGACCCAAAAGAACGCTAGTAGAGAAGCCGGTGTTGATGGAAACCAGTCGAGTTTAGGATGCCAGAAATCGGACACCTCGATTGTTCATCCACAAATAAAGTCGATCACGCAAATGTGTGTCAACTTTTGCAACACAAGCAAGGCCACAAACAAGCGCGCTTTTCCTGCCCCACGAAAGACGAATGTAAATGGATTTTAATGGAACGGCTTCTTGTTTGCGTCATTCGGACCGCAGCCGATGAAAACCTTTAGAAGAAATCAACCTCGCCCAAGGAACACAATGACACGTTACTAGGGGTGGGGGTTGGGGGGTTGGGGGGGGGTCTCTTACGCACTCGTAGCTCCGGAGGTATTGTACATGATCCAAGAACGAGACGTCTTGTCCACTTGTAACGATCTCCTCTTAAGGTGGGCCTGGGTTGCAACATTCCACCCACCCAGCATGAAAACCTAAACAGGGTAGTAAAAGCTTCTTTGCCTTTTAAGCTTTTGAGCTCAGCTATGGGATCTTTGCGAAGTTAGATGTGGGTCGGGATAAGGCGCAGGGTACTGGCACTTGCACAGACACATCCCCCGCTCGGACATGTTTTCTGGACTTTCCAAGTTAAGGAGAGAACCGATCCGCCACCAGATCCTTTAGCGTCTTTTTCGTCAAAGAACGTGCTTAAGAGCCGGGTGGCTAGTATCATCTGAAACACTAGGTCGAAGCGTGAACGGCCGAGGACTAAAAAAAATCTCCCAGCAAGAAAAGTGAAAGGGTGGGGGGCAATTCCCATCAAGGCCGCTTTCCAAGTGTAAGGCTCCTTTGAGGGACAAAACTGCTGCCACAAACCGACCCTTGCGCTACCCCGACGGTTTTAGGACTGGGAGAGTAGCCAGCGCTTGAAATCGGCATGCGACGCGCTTAACGGGAATGACTGGGGTCCCTAAAAATGAAGGGACCTCGCTTTTGGGAGGAATTAAAACGGGGGGGGGATCTCTGCCGGCGGGGGAGAGAAACTGATTCAAAACTCAGGCTGGGAATATTGCATAAGAACCAATGGGGAATGCCCAAAGTTGCGCTCAGAAACGAGGGTTGTTGAGACGGCTTACAGACTAGCGCTCCTATTCCAATCGGAGCGATTTACTTCGTGCTCAGAAAATAGAACTGTACAAAACGCAATCCCACTTTTAAACAGGTCCAAGGACCAAGGACCTTATAAGATAATTGCAATAGGCCCCGGGATTTGGGGTTTGGGGAGTGGAAATGTAACAAAGCGATTTGCCTTTGAAGCAGCAACAAGTTTTTTTTTTTTTTAATGAAGGAGTTAACCTTGTTATCTGGCAATTACATCGCTTGGGAAATTCCTTCCGATTGGGAAAGGACAATTATCTCATTGCGAAGTTTCTGGGTAACGCACTAAATTATGCTGTCTTGAATATCGATTGAATATTGCCATTTAACAGCAAAACCTGAGTCAACACCTAATACCAGAGTCCGCTCTACAACCAGCCACGTGGGGAGCGGGTGGGAGAGTGGTTTCCGTCTTCTTCATTCTTTCAGTCCATCAAGTGGAAGTAAGTCCGCGGGGGACTCAAGACTCAAAAAAAAAAAAAAAAAGCCTTTGAAAAATGATTTAATTCTAATTAATGGATTTAGAATCAAATCGAGGAAGGTTGGTTCAGCCAGGGTCGGGTGACGCCCCGCGCCCTTCAGCATAAATTTGGCAGCTGCTTGTCTTGTTGAGAACCGCCGAAACACCTTGAAATTCTCACGTTTCGCCTGAACCGGTTGTGTCAGAGGGATCGAGCCCCCCCCGTCCCCCCCGTAGCACTCCCACTCAAGTCGGTCAGGGGTGAAGCTCTTTGACCTTGGCGCTCGTGAGGTCCGGCTGGCGCTCTTGACCTTGATCCCTTTCCTCCCGGATAAACGCTCGGGAGCTTCTGGTCAAGACCCCCGATTTTCTCACCACCAGACCCCCCCCCACTTTCTTCTCTCGGACTCTTCGGACTCTTTTGGGGGAGTTAAGAACTGGAGAGGCTTTACCAACGGGACTGGGATAGGTGGAGGGGATGCTGGGGTCTTAATCATTCACAGCCGCTCCTGTTCATCTTTTCGACGAATTTAGGTCAGCTGGATTGCCAGCGATTCCTTTCAAGTTCAGGCGGCAGGCCCACGAGAGCAAGCTCCGTCCAACCCCTTGGCCTGGGTTATAACTTCGGCTAGGATTGACATCTGCGCACCGACAGGGTGGCTGCCCGAATGCGACTCTTTGCAAATTCATTCTGTTTTAAAAGCCCAAATTGTTTAGATTTGAAATTGAGACCAAAAAGAACTCTCCGGAAACTTCAGCCGTCTGGTAGAATACCAAGACAGGCGATGCGGTCCTGGGTAGGTCAGAAGACAAGGGATTTCTGGGTATCTGAACATCCCACGAGATTCGACTTTTACTTTCAGTCCTGTCCCACTTTAGATCCTGATCTCTTTAGATCCTGATTCCCAGCCAACCCGGGTTCTCGCCGTGCCTCCAGCATCTTTGAGACTATTGTCGGGTCGGAGCTTACTTTTTTTTTTTTTTTTTTTGGGGGGGGGGGGGGCGCTCCGCCTCTGGCTCCTTTCCCTTCCAACTTGCAGCTCCTTCTCCTCTCTTCCCCTCGCAGCTCCACCTCCCCGTCTCTGCCTCTGTTTCTCGGGCCTTTTTTTTCTCTTCTCAATGTGTGTTCCTGATGTGATTCTGTCGGAAAAGCTCGTTTACTCTGCTCAGGTCCCCAGTGGTTGAAGGATAATGTTTATCAGGGTTGAACGTGCTCAAGTTGTTTCCACTGAACTGCTGAGTGGAGGCTGAAATAACAAAGGTCACATCCACAGTCAGTCGGGGCGAGGGGAGCCGAGACCAATGGGGCGCGGGCGGAGAGACGTTGTAATAAACAACAGCCTGTCGATCGCGCTGACCTGCCTGGCAAAAAGATTAATTTCAGGTACAGAATAATGGAATAACTGGAGGTAGAGGGGAAAAAAGGAGGAGCGGAAATGGAGGAAGGGATGGGGGGGGTTGGCAAGAAGAGGGTTTTCTTTTCCTCAAAATTTGAAGAGTAAAAAATGGACACCACATCCAGGCTTGTTGAATTTTTCTAGGCTGGCTTTTTAAGCCTGGAGACAATTTGGCTTGGGAAGGCCAATGAAGTCAGACGACATCTCCTCTCCAAAGACACAGATCTTTTCCCATGCTAACAAAAACATAAGGAGCAGGAGAAGCAGGGGTAGGCCTTGAGGGTCGAACAAAAGGAGGCAGGGAAGCGAGCAGTTCTGAGCTAGGTTAAAAAACAAGAACAAAGCAACCCAAAACAGGCCCGGCACTTTAGGAGCGCTGAGTGGCCCCTGGGAAAACTTGAAGGTGAATGTCAGCCAGACTGATATCCCAAGAAAATTTGGAACCCCTCTCCCTGAAGTGTAGTGGGGAAAAGTGGAACTATCAAAGCACCCTCTACCTACCAGCTTTATTTGGGGCTTCAACTCACATGCTGGTTAGAGAGATTGTGAAAAGTAAAGCCCGATGTGTTTGAGAAGACGCTGCTCCTCGGGGAAAACTGGTCTCACTTGCTCCAGTAGAACCTGACCTTCTGGGGAACCCAACCCAGATGAAAACAGCACAACAACATTCTGTGCAAACGACTTAATAGAAAGTGTAACTTTAAGGGACTGAAAAGGAAAACGTTGATGCAATTTCTGTGGCTCACACTGGAAAAGAATCACTCCCTGGGGAAAACTATGCTGAACAAGCAGCCAATTAAAGATGCCACCTTAAATGTATTTGCCTTTGGCAGAAACCTTCATAGACCCAGGAGGGGACCTTTTTCTAAGGGGAAATAAACAAAGGATTGAGCTATAAAGCCAAAGTTTTGGGTTTTTTTATGAGAGGTTTGCCTTTCCGCTAGTTTATTGGTCTGGTACATGAATTCTTCCCTGATTATTCCAACAGGTCTCTTGTCTTCTTCTTCTCCTTCTCCTTCTCCTTCTCCTTCTCCTTCTTCTCCTTCTTCTCCTTCTTCTCCTCTTCCTCTTCCTCTTCCTCCTCCTCTTCTTCTTCCTCCTCTTCCTCCTCTTCTTCCTCTTCTTCCTCTTCCTCTTCTTCCTTCTCCTCCTCCTCCTCCTCATCTGCTTTCTAGGAAGCATTTTGTTAAGAATCCTGCTCTGAGAAATAAAATCAAAGAAGGACCTCAGCCAGTACTGAATTCGGAGCGGCTCCACAGATCCTCAGAGGGTTTGTAATATTCAGCAACTCTGAAATGAATTTGGCCCCAACAGTGTTTAGGATGATAGTAGCGTTTGAA